ATATATATATATGTATATTATATATATATATATTGTCGAGTAATTGAGTAATTTCATTATAAAAATAAAACAAGTAAGTTAAATATTGAAATACATATTATATTTTTTCTGAGTTATTGAGTAATTTCTTTATAGAAATAAAATAAGTAAATTAAATATTAAAATACATATGTATTTTTTCGAGTAATTGAGTAATTTCATAGTAATTACGGTAATTATGGCAAAAATTTTTAATTCACAATTAATTATAATTGATTGAAATGTTGATGACAGTGTTGATAATGATAATTCGAAAATATTTTGATTGCTTTTGCTCATACTAACATTTCTGAAGCATAACATTAGCGTAGAACCGCCTTTCAATAATGATTTGTCAATTTCGTCACATTACCGTATCCTTCTTGATATATAGTTAAATCTTTACAATTTCCAATATAATTCCTTAATATTCAGTAAATTTAATTATTTGCATATCTTAATTAGGATGATTTCGGAACTGGAATTGGTGATAAAGATAAGATGAAAACCTGAAAACCGGATAGTACTTGTGCTTTTTTGGTGATATTGGAAAAAAAAGATTACTAGTTGATTTATTTAAAATTTAAAATATCTTTTAGATAAATGTTTTATTATACAAATTAATGAAATTAATTAAAAATTAGTAAAATAAATATTTCAATACCTAAATGATTCATCCAAATTCTCAAGTTTTTTTTCTCCATCACTTTTAATTGTAATTGTTTAAATGTCGCAAATAGAATCCTTTTGTTGTAAATTTCGTCCAAACTTTTAACAAAGGTTATGCGCAAATGTCGGAATTATTGATAAACCACTTCCATCATATAAAGAGATAGGATCAATCATCCAGACTCAGAGATCATTCATTCAATTCTGCATCCGGTTTTCATTCACTTCATTCCGCATCCGGCATTCACTCATTACGCATCCGGCAAGTCATTCATTCAAATTATTCGATTGACAATGTTTGTTATTTACTCAATTCTATTCAATATTTCCTGATAACTCTTTTATAATGTTTATATCATCATCAATCAATAAATTTTTATCACAGCTATTCGTCTTTGCTAATCAATAAAAAAAAAAAAAGAAGGATTTCATCGTCAACAATAGTGCCCTTATTATTGTCATCATTGATATGCTATTTCCTGAATTAATTTTTCGTTTACCGGTTTATAATGCAATAAAAAATCAGTTACCATTACTCCTCTAGCACTTTCATCTTTCCTTGAAATTGAAAGTTTCAATTCGTATTTAAAAACAAAAAATGAAAATTTAATTTCCATTAAAACTTTGTTGATCCATAGAGTAAAAGAGTTAGTGTAAATTTTATACCGAAAATCCAGAAAATAGAAAATTCAATTTCTATTAAAACTTACTTGGTGCCGGAAAAAAACATAGAGTAAAAGAGTTAGCATAAATTTTATACCGAAAATCATAGAATTATCGAATTAAGAAAATACCATTGCTTATATGTAATATTCAAATTTTATTCAATTATCATATAAATCTTTTCGTTTTTATTTCATTTCCTTTAATCAAATGAATAATATATTCTAAAAATTTAACTATTTGTTATGTCTAAAAATAATTATAACTTTCAAACATATACATATGTCATCACATGCCATTTTTGACAGATATAGTAGTTAGACATTAAGTGATAACTTGTATTAAGTGATAGGTTGTATGATATTAAGTGGTAGGTCGTATGATAAGTGATAAGTTGTGATATTAAATGACAGGTTGCATGATATTAAGTGATAGGTTGTATGATATTGAGTGACAGGTTGTATAATATTAATTGATAGGTTGTATGATATTAAGTGATAGGTTGTATGATATTAAGTGATAGGTAGCGTGATAAGTGATAAGTTGTATGATATTAAGTGACAGGTTGTATGGTGTTAAGTGATAAATTGCGTGATGTTAAGTGATATGTTGTGTGATATTAAGTGATAAATTATATGATGTAAATTATCCGGCTTGTTTCATAATTTGTACAATGCTCAGTTGAAATTTTTAATACTTCTATTTCAAAATGACAAATTTTGTCGTTTAAAAGGAAAATCAAAATTGATTGATAGAACAGATCGTTTAAGATTATTAACAAATTCGTTTAATACAAAATGCTTCTTTGCATAATTGAATATATCATAATATTATTTTCGATGAATATATAACATCATTTAACAGCACGAATATATTACTTCCATTTTTTCCAAATCTAATGAAATGAATAATAGCCTAGCAAATTTGCATAAAATAAATTATTGATGAATATAAATGAAAAATATTTCAGTTTTTAGGAAATTTTATTTTGAAATTCCTAAAGTCAATCGATTTTGTAGATAGCTAAAATTTTTTAATTATATCTCATTTAGCTTTTGAATCATGTGTATGTGACTTAAAAATTAAGCCAAGTTTTAGCTCTCATGTACTCTTGGGAAGTCTCAGAGATCAATACCTTACCAGTTATTTATCTTGAGCAATTAATGAAAAGTGCCATTCTAATTTGTCAAACAAAAGTATCCAACATGTACGTGTTTGTGTAGAAATTTATATGTTTAAGCATACGTAGAAAAGGTACGTGAACGATTTTTCAAGCGGAAATACTGTAGTATCGAAATACTGAAAATTTTCATTAATTTATTATTCCTTTAATATAAAAATATACACAATAATAATAATGTAATCAGAAATATTCCCGAAAAAATTTATGTTAGAAAGATAATTTAACAAATTTTGGAAAAAAAAAAACAATACATATAATAGGAAATAATTGCCTTTTCAGGATATTTCATAATAACTTAACGAAAATAGCTTTAATTACATCAAAAATTAAACAATAAAAATTTTGAGAAAGACAAGAAAACCTAGGAAATATGATGAATAGTTTTTACGCATTGACATATAGTAGCATTCAAAATTACTCCTTTCCAATACATTCAATTTTCGTAAAATTAAAAACTTAAATATCAATAATTTTTTCGGTCGTAAATAAATTAATTGAAATCTTAAAACCAAAAGTATTGGAAAGCAATAACTTTAAGCATATCATCTATAAAAAAAGTTATTTTTTTTGAAAAATATCCTTTATGTGTTATAAAAAAAATATATACAATACCATTTACAATAAGGAAATGAATGAATAAACAGTGCATGGGATATGTGATAGATTGTTTCTAAATTATCGTCACGATGACTTGTTTACAAATGAATTCAAATAAACTAGAAAAGTTCTGCCAATATTATGTGACAAAAGTCATTTGTATGGAAATGCCTTAGCACTCAGTATATAATTTCAATTTTTCGAAACTGATAAGTAATCTGCCGTTTAGAAACTGATAACTTCATGAATGCTCTCTAAGAATATCTGCTTGTTAAACAATTCAGATAGTTAAGTTATATAACAATAACAATATATACCAACAATAAAATTTTTAAACAAACTAAATAAGCCATAAAGATGATAACAATACAATATGATAAAATGAAACCTAATTAAGGTTTGGCATTATAAAACACATGATTTTAACATGGAATCCATAGCTTACATTAGATATTTGCAAAAAGTTGACTTCAATGCATATTATGCAAAATGATGCGAACACACTTTTAACATATAAACAGGTTATAATTAGCATTGATGCAAATTTGGCATACACATAATAAAGCTCACGTTTCAATTTGGTTTTACGACATTTCTGCATTTGGAATAAACCAAAAAGAAATAAAAATATTTATCATATTGATGAGTGTATTTTAACAATTCTTCATCTAACAAGAATATGATGTTGGGAATGAATATTTCAAGTGAATAGAAAGTAAATCTCGTTGTGAAAAGATAAAAAAGAAAAGTTTCCAATCACATCGAGAAGTAGAAATTAATGCATTTTGATAAATTTCACGTAAACCTATTGGAACGTTGTAAAATTAATCAAAACTTACCGAATATCTGGATGGCCTGCAAATAAACAAATTAAAATGGTGACAAAAATAACGATCACTGCCCAACGAAGAAATAATTTCGGAAAGCAACAAATCATTTGGACTAAATCAACTGATGGTAGCTGTGGAGTAAGCCTATCATTATAAATCACTGAACCATTCAAATAAATCGATGAAGTATCAGATATTGTTAAATCAGTTTGCGACTTTGGCAAAACACGATACTCTTTTTCCCGCTGTTTAGCCTAAAATTAATGTTACAAATTTTTACCTGAAATGATTTTCGAAGTTCTTGCAAATATTGAGAAAACAAATGAATACTGAATTTAAATGGAAAAATTTTACTCCTAAATTGTGAAATTATTTGTGGGTTTGAAAGCATCCTATGTATACTAAATTATTTTAATTCGTTTTTATTATTTTACTTAGATTTATGGCAAATAAAAGTCAAATCTCACCCGATTATAGAGGAAAACGCCAAATATGGATAAAAACATGCCGAAAACATTGGCTGGAGTTACCGGATTACGTAAAGTAAGTAACGATGCTGATATCACAGTGACACGCTTTGCTGCATTTGCTACCGCATAGGAAAGTGCCGATAAGCGATGAATTAATATAAAAGCACATAAATTCTGGAGGAATGAAAGTACGCCGGAAAGCAATAAAAAGACGACAAAATTCGGTTCATGCGGTGATGGTTGATTCTTCTGTAAAAAAAAAAGAAAAAAATTTCGAGAAATTGCAAAAACATGAAAAACAGTTCAAGCATAAATAATATATCTTAAACTATCAGAAAAGAGAGAAAGAAATAAGAAACTGATCTAAACAATAACATAATACACTTCCGCAAAATGCTATGACGAAATGTAATGTGATAGAAATTATTATTAATTGAAAATATATAAGACACATGTGAAATTGCATTAGAAATCGATAATGATGGCAAATAAGAGAAAAATGAAAACAAAAGAAAAATTGCATACGATTGATTCAACACCACGCCACAATAATAAGCCATCACGAAAACACCAAATTGGAAACAGTAAGATAGCAGCAATACGAGAATTTAAGGCAAGCAAATAGAGCGGATGAACATCAGCACCTTCCAATACCTGAAATAACAATTGTCATAACATATTACAAGAGGATCAATATTTTTTACATCGAATTATCAAAACAATCGACAATTCAATGCAACATATCTTCTGATCACAGCATAATAACACGCCTAACCTATAAGCGTATTAATTGCTTGCAACAAGTTGATAATATTAACTTGTCAATCACTGGATTTGCTTAATTTATCAGCTAATAAAGAACTTATCCACTGTTATTACGAGAATCAAAATCAGTGAATTGAAGATGTTGGCATTATATATATATATATATATATATATATATATATATATATATATATATATATATATATATATATATATATATATATATATATATATATATATATATATATATATATATATATA